AGTATAAGAAAAGGAGAACAAAATGTTGATTATGAAAAGAAAGAAATATTAGAAGTAGAGTATGATGACATGAAAACATAGTATTATATAAATCACCAAGCCTGTGGTCTGATGTTGTAGATTTTCATGTGTTGCTGGTTCGGGAAATAGTCGTTGTATGAGAAGAGATATGAGCACCAAGGACTTATACTAGAAGTAGATTTTATTTTGGTATTTTCCTTATTTCTTTAAATTTTGGGTATGATATATTGTAAACCCGATGATATCCTAGGATGTATAAGGTTTTTTAAGTTTAGAATTCTGAAATTTTTATAGAAAACTTGGATAAATTCCCAGAATATTTATATGGAAAAGTTAGGTCATTACAATCGCCCTTTAAAAGTATAACATATAAAGTACTAAAAAACTTAGTCTTAGTTATATTAGGAAATGTTAATAGTTACTAATCCATGAAAAACACACATTCTTCCTTAGGCCAATTTATGGAGAGTGTGTAGGTAACAAACATATAATTTTGAGATGTAAAAAGAAGATGATGTAGCATTTGTGGTTGTTCTTTTTTGGCAGAACGTGTGTGGATAACTGACACATCAACTTGAGACCATAAAGTTATCAAGGGGTCACATGGATTTTGCATGGTTTGTTCACTATCTTATTTGTGAGACCTCTGTATCCCGTTCACAAATAGAAGATGTGTAATCCAAGATTAACATGCCACTAAATAGTATTAATGAATCTCAAAAGATTAGGAAATTCATAGAGATTGAAATTGATAAATTTTAGTATATACCTAAAATAATTTCATAATATAATTGTGATATCCCTCTTCATAAAACAAATCTAAAATATGGATCCTAACTTAATGTATCAAATACTAACTTAAATTCATAATATCATTATGATATCCCTCTTCATAAAACAAATCTAAAATATGGATCCTAACTTTAATATAAAATGGGTAAATCTTTAAATATTAAATACTAAATTAAATTGCCTTTCTTAATTTAGATGTCTGATCTTGATGGAAATCCTCTCCCACCTCCTCCCACACCTCTAAATTCAAACTTCTCATTACTTTCTATTCTCCAAAGGGAAAACTCACTGGTAGAGCAAACTACCTCGATTGGATGAGAAAACTTAGGATAACCCTAAGGTACGAAAATCGTGAGTAGGTTCTTGATGATCACATTATTGACATCGATGAGTTCTCTAATGAAGGAGAAAAGGAAACTAACCGCAAACACATTGGTGACTCACCGATGGGTTAGTGTGTGGGGTTGGCAACTATAATGTATGATGTAGTCCCTATTTTGGATGTTCGATGAGCGGTGCAAGGCTAGGAGATTTTTGTTAGATCACACCCACATGTATTGGTTGACTTAGGTTATTATTGGGGTGGCTCTATCTACCTGAAGGTTAGATATGAGTTCGGGGCCAGTATGTCATAGACTAAGGAGCCTATTTTCCTATTGCAAATTAAGGATGTTGTGAGGGGGACTATTTTTGTCAGGTCGCTTGATTCACGTTAAAGTCTGCAAATGTGTCTGGACGTGGTCGAATGATCAAGGGATGATGTGATAGTTGTGATACAGATCATTTGAGTCTTGCCCTAATTGACTCTTGGGCCTGGTTCTGGAACTGTGGTTGTTGATGGTGGTAGGTGCTAGTATTCAAGTGATCTCAGACCGCTTGGAAGGAGTCAAGTTTGAAATACCCACACGGGGTCACTCCAAAAGTGGAAGTGATAGCTGATTTCAAGGACAAAATCTAATTTAAGTGGGGGAGAATTGTAACACCTGATTTCCAAAATGGAGTGCTTTCGGGCTTCTGGGAGTCAAAGTCATGGTTTTTAGGTAAAACCAAGTGTCACGATGTGACCATAGAAAGGTCACGATGTGACAAGAGATGAATGAAAAATTTTGATTTAATCTGAGCTCACGATGTGAGCCATAAGAGCTCACAATGTGAGATGCATTGCAGTCCAAGCCCATGATCTTTTAGGGTTTCCTTTGCATTTAAATCCCATAAACTTAATTTTAGGATTCCTTAATAGTGTCCCTCATCCTCAAACATATAAAAACCCTAACCCTAGCCTCTCCTTATGATTTTTGAGCTTTTGGTAGTATTTTGGTGGCTTAAAGAAGAAGGGATCATCATTGGAGCATAGTTTCAGCTTGGGAGCTTCATTTGCATCTCCTAGCAACATATATGGAAATTGTGAGTAACCAAGATTCAAATTTTATGATTCCTTGTTGCTATATCTAAGGTTTTATGCATGATTATCCACGGTTTGGGGAGTTAGAGTGTTGAGACCCCATAAAGTTAGCAACTTTATGGGTTGTTAGAGTCCCTTGGTGATTATATCTGATGGATCTGAAGTTTAGATTATGCTTGAGCTGATTCTTAAGGTTTTGACCTCCTTTTCTTCATAAATGTTTTAACTTGAGCTCAAGTTTTGTATTAGACATGCAAGACCTTAAAGCATCAATTTTTATGGTCTTTGGGGTGTTAGGAAGCCATCTAGAGAAGATGGATTAGTGGCTTAATGGATTAAGAAGTTTATGCATCAGAATGACATTCAGGGTGATCTCACGATGTGAGGCTATGTCTATCACATAGTGAGGATCAGGATCCTTGATTATTTTGTCCCTTAGACGCTCACAATGTGAGCAATAGATGGTCATGTTGTGAGGAGGCAGTTGACAATTTGACTTTCTTTGACCGTTGACCGTTGAATTTTTGACCAGTATGACTTTGGGTCAAACTTGAAGGATTTGGGATATTGATTAAGATTCTTCCATGTTTTGGTGCTAGAGGGCTCATGGGAGCAAGCAGTGTAGAAAAGGAAGTGTGTCACAGTGTTTCTAGGTTCTTCGTTTCGGGTGAGTTTCCCTCACTATACCTGTGGGTCGATGGCACTAATGCTGGCCCACTAGTTTTGGTTATCAATTAGCAGATTGATTCCATAGGGACTGTATGTAGTCATGTAGGATATATTGAAGACTCTTAATCTAGGATTTCTTTCATGTTCCTTGTTTAGTTATGGCTCTAGAGTAGGATCATCTACTCGGGTGTCTATCTCTCCTATGGGTATATATCATTATGAATTCCTTGGAGTGTTGGTTATGCATACTTGTGTATAGGATGTTGTTGAGATGTAGTAATCTATTATATATATATATATATATATATATATATATATATATATATATATGTGTGTGTGTGTGTGTGTGTATATATATATATATCCTTGTATGATAGGATACAGCAGTAGTGGTATGCTGGTTAGAGTACTAGTAGACTAGTCATCATCTCATGGAGTGCCCTAAGGGTTGTATGTAGTCATGTAAGATAGCCTGAGAACTCTTGATCTAGGATTTCTTGCTTGTTCCTTGTTTAGTTGTGGCTCTAAAGTAGGATCCTTTTTTTGGGTGGCTATCTTACATCTGGGTACTTATCGTTATGTATTCCATGGAGGTTAATTGGTAGTGGAGTAGTCTGCTATGACGAGTCTAGTAGCCGATAATGATTTGTATGATTGATAATTGCTTGTATTATCTACCTACTTAATCCTTGATTGCTTATAGGTCGACATATGGTAGCGGATGAGGTTGAGGAGGTCCTACTATGTGATGTAGGCCAAGAAACCAGGTGTAGAACAGCTATATGTCATAGACATGGAGGCTCGAGAAGAGTACTAAGGTTTACGTGGCAGGACAACATACCCTGGGTAATCCAATCTGATGATTGTGGACCCGATATGCATGCTAGTATGTTTTTTGTATGCGGTATTTCAGGGGAACTCGCTATGCTTTGTGCTAACCCAGTTATTTATTCTTTTAGGTTCTATCAGTTATCATGGGAAGGTAAATGCTTCACTATACACATTCATTAGTAGCAATGAAGATTATGTGTTATTATATTACTCTGATTTTTAACAAATGTAATTTGGAACTAATGGTTTTTATTAATATGGAGTTTTACCTTAATAAAATGAAAAATTTTGGTTATGAAATGGGATGTTACATCGGAAATTATCTTCTCTTAAACCTAAAAACTCTTATTATTTAGGATATTTTTTAAGGAACATTTAGATTCACAATTCAAACAAAGACAAGATTCACAAGAACATACAATGTAAATACGATTTCAATTTCATTAATGAGTAAGTCGGAACAATTCGATACAGCGTAAGGAACTATTCTATCTGTCAAACTCTTACCCATTCTTCTATCTCATATTCCTATATATATAATATATATATATATATATATATATATAGGCATCTCAGGAATATAATAAAGGCATCTCAAGTCAACAGCAAGGCTGCAAACATAAGGTAACAAATCGTGTGAGATCGCAACTTAACTCACACAAAGTAAAGACATTATAAACAGACCATTATAAGTTGACACAATAGAAACTCTACAATCTCCCCCTTTGTGTCAATTTTCTTCAATTGTCTTTACTTCCAGATTCTCTGTAGAATCAAACACTTTAGGTGTTCTTTTCAACAGAATAGAACAAACTCTGATCCACCACTTGATCATATCTAAAATGCATTTCATATCATCAGAAGTATTTTTCTTGAACTTCTCCGCATTTGACAATATTTGATTTAAAGCCACATAAGAATAGAAGTGCTTATCAATCAAATAAAACATACACTTCTTTGGAACTTCATTTTCTTTCACTTTGAATACCATTCCCCAGTTCTCATTCTCAATGAACCCAACTTTCAACGAATCAAGATCTTCAGGATGATCCATTGGTTTAACGATTGACCTTCTGTTTAAAACAGATGAGATTTCAACATACATCTTTGCAATTTCAATTATATAAGCTTTTATCAACCTCATCATATGCGAACAAATGGGTTCATACTTGACAGGTTCTCTCGAAAAGATGTTAAAAATTAAAATCCAATCAAAAGGATTCATCAAACGAAGATCAGCCAAAGTTAACGCATCTACTTCATGATTATTACCACGAACAGCCTTGAAATCAATGTTTATGATTTTTCAACCTTTTCTAACTTCTCAACTTTCAGACCAACAATCTTCTTTATGTTCCAAGATTCATATTGCGGTTTTGAATTCTTCACATAAAAGTTGAACAATTTTCTATTGATTGTAGTGTTTCCCATGGTTATCTTCTGAAAACTTTCAAAGCAACGAAAGTGGAAGGATTTCGTAGTGAAGGGCAAGTCCATTTTGACAATCAACATCATTTTCAATAGAGAATGAGGTTTCAGTTTCTAACCAATAAAGCTTCGGATTGTTAATAGTTTTTTCTTCAATCCTTTCAAGTGACCAGGGAGGAAATAAAGATTTCTTGGTCGTAAGGATTGCTTCAGCATTCTTCTTTCAGCTTCCTCAACATTAAGCTTTACATTTAAATCATTAATCTCATCTAGAAATGCATCATGTTTTGCTTGATCATCTTGTTGTTCCTTAGTCAATAGTGGATTCAACTCATTTATCTTTCAGAAACAATTTTCACATTTCCTTTTCCTGAACCAGAAGCTTCATTACCCTTTTGGCGAGTTTTCTTTTCCCTTAAATTCTTCAATTTTTCCTCCATATATCTTTTCTCCAAATTTATTTTCTCACTATTCTTTTCCATCAGACGAGTTTGGTAAGGATTGTTGATATTGACTTCCGAAAACACCCCTTCTCCCCCCCCCCCTTGTTGCAAAGTAACCTTGCTAATCGTAACATTAAAAATATCACTTACCTTTACGAGATGAGGAGTTCTTTGATTGCTTTTCCAAGATCAAAAGCAAAATACTTTAATTGTTCCATAAGGACTTTGATCTTCGTGGTTGAATTAGCCAAAGTAGCCACTATTTTGTTTTCATGAGCTGACTTGCTTGTAGAGTTTGAATGGAGTTGGCAATAGATGTGGATGATCAACATTGTCTTTTTGTAACCCAAAGTGAAGTTTAGACAAAGCATCATTTTCATTTTGCAATGATATCTGAAAACTATCACCTTGTTCATATCAGGAATATTTTAAAAAAAAAAAGATGTTTGAAATGAATTCCTGAAAGTCTCTTGCTTTGTTGAAATAGAATTAACTTCTGTGAGAATCATGGAGACTTATGAACTGGCTTCCTTGAAAAGTTTAGCAGGATCATCAAGAAGCTTCTTATGTTGTGAAAGTTTATCAACATTAACTTGAACCAACTTTTGAATTGTTTCCTCATGAGAAGAGATTAGCTCTTCATACTTCGTATTTATGAAAGTAAAAGACTGGGAAAATTTCATCTAACTTCTTGTTCAACTTATGAAAATCACCTTTAGACATCGAAGCATCATCATTACCACTTTCCTCTTGAATGAAAAAATCAGTTGCAACAAAGTCATCATTTGACTTAGAATCATCTTTCATAAGAATTTTTTTTCTTCAAAATCATCAGTGATAAGTGGAATAGAAGTGAATTCTGGTGGAGACACATTTAATTGAGACAAATTCACACCAATATTGACATTTGGCCCTATATCAGATGTGTTACCAGGGATGCCTGAGGTTCTATTCTCCTCCCGATCGGATTCAAAAGTAGAAGCCTCTAGTGTAGGTGCAGTATAGGTTGTGGTTTGAGATACATAAGTAACAGTTGCCTTAGTACAAACGGGAATCCCAAATGGTTTTGTTTAAAACTAAGAAACAGGAGCAAAAAAATGTACTTGTTGGAATTGGTATAGATTTTGAAGTAATAGAAACAATTAATGGAATAAGAGGTGTTTGAGAAAGATTGAAAAAAGGATCATCAACAACCTATTTATTAATTCTGCTTTAGACTCCATATACGAAGAGACAAGAGGAGTTGGAATTGGCTCTGAAATAGTGGTTTATTTTAGCCCAATGTTCGCAGAATCTTCTTCATTGTCAATAGTGGAATCCTTTTTAGTACGATCAAGAGTATGCTCGCTTAAGTCATCTTCAATAACAAGTTGAGTCAACTTTTTCCTGTTTTTCTTTGTAGATTTCTTAGACATGATCATTTTCCCTTTTTGCTTAGAACTTTTTACTTTATTCTTTGCAATTTCTTCTTCATTAATTGAATTTAAACCAACATCGCCTTTAGAAAGTGTAGTAAAATATTTCACAATGATAGGATGATCAGTAGGAACCCAAGATAACATAGCTTTAGAAAGTGAACCCACTATCAAGAAATTCTTTGGATCAATAGTAACAAATGTTGTAGTCTGTATCTTGGGAATATCAGTGATCACAACATCTCGCATTTCTGGAATATGATAATGGAGCATAGCATACCTCACCACAATAAACCAAAAACGAGCACATAAAATTTTAGTGTCCATTATTTTTGAAGAAACACTTTGAACAAATTGATCCCATAAGATAGTTCCAAAATCGATATGTTCTCTAGAATAAAGTCCATATAACAAAGTATGAAATAACTTACTTGCATTATCAGACCCAATATATCTCTCGGAAAAGCATTTGAACAAGATCGTAAATAATACATTTCAAATAGGACGAAGTGTAGACTTCTTAAATCCAGAGAGAACAGACAAATCAGAGATGCACCCCATTTTTTGATAGGCTTGAAAAATGTTCGATGCATAAATTTTGTCTAGATCAATCAAATCCTCAGCAGTTGAAAGCCCTAAAAACTTTTAAAATTTTGATTTGGAAATAGATGTCTTCACCCCTTGAACTTAAAAATTCATAACCTCCATTGGTTTATTGTAACTGGCAGTTGAATACGCCAATGATAACTGATAAATCGAAACCTCTTCAACCATAACTAGAGCTTTCTTCAATATACAATGATTCAAGAAGATAATCATAGGTTGAACCAGTTAAGAATACTTAGATGGATCAATAACAACCACCATATTCTGATTTTACTTGATATTCAGCAGTGTATATGAAGAAGATTGGTCCATGAAAGAAATACGATCGGAAGAAGCTATAAGATTCGAGCAGAAAATTATTTGTCAAAGGTTACAATTAGGGTTTTTGAGCGTAGAAAGAAAGATGATGAAAAGTTAGAGTTTTTAACGATGAAATAGGTGTGGGATTTGAATTTGAATCGTTTATAAAATTACAGAGAGAAAACCCACCACCATGCATTAAATGTTTTACATCTCCGATGTCAACAAATGGAATAACGCCAATCATTCCAAACATGTTGAACCAATATAATAGTCCCGCCTCATTAAAATTTTGTAACAAACTTGAACCACCATCTATTGAACAACATTATGTCAGACCCTTTGAATACACGCCAAAAGAAACATGCCTTTTCAGTTTGCAGCAGTTTCGCAATCACTGATCCACCCTTTAATTTTCACAAATTAAAATAGTATCCATTGGAATTACGACCAATATTGTCTATGCGGATTGATATTTTCACCACAAAATAGAAGCCAGAGTTTTGAGAAATCAGAGATTTCAGTGAAAATGTGTACCAAATGAAAAGATAGAAGAAAATTAAAAAAAATTAGATAAGTAGTGATATCAAATAATCTTTGATATAAAAGCAGTTTGCTCCCGGACATAGATTCTCTTTCTTCAATACTCAAGAGAGACTAAAAATTTATTGTGTGGTTTCCCATTGAATTACGATTGTCAACTTGTTAAGAAGTTACGAAAGGAATATTTTCGTATGCATCATGGGTAGGCTCATTTCTTATCATAGAAGCAACTTAACATAAGTGCTAAGAGACGAAAGGAAAAACTTGATTGACCAATGTAGCCAACATCATGTTCAGTAAAAATGATATAGTGATTGGAAAGTAACATCAAGATAAGAAAAATGTTCAGATGGAAATCTCATAATTTGAAAAAAAAAAAAAAGTTGCATCTTATTGGGAAGACATCTTATTGGGAAGACATTAATCTGCAAATGAAAAGATATGGCACTGCGAAATATAATAATTTCAACCATCAATCCCTTTGTTTCATGCTAGAACAAAAAATTTCACCGTCAATTCATTTTAGGAAATGTTTGTTGGGTTTCACCAAGATCATCGTAGTTGGTTTAGACTAGAGATATCTCGAGATATGTGTCATAGTATGTGCATTGTGTAAGAAAAATAAGATTGGAAAAGAAGAACGAGTTTTTCACATTCTCAAGGTAACAATGAAAATGATCATAAATACAATTATTGAGAAACCTAACTCTGAGTTGGTATAAATTTGAAAGATCAAGGCTTAATAAAAAATTGTTGTTGTAAAATCCATCAAATTGTTAAGGTTTATATAGTCAACATCGCGGAAGTAATGAACAGTGTGAAACTGACCCTAGAATGAAGAATGAGATCTTGCCTGTGCAGTAGCATTCAAAGGAAAGTTATCCGGACAGTGAGACCCGGGAAGACTACTACTTTTGTATTAAAAAACACCTTTCGCTCATCCATTCCGCCCGCCCAGATGCGGCGCATTTTCTCATTATCATCTACCACCCTTTCTTTCCTCCTTGTTATTCACGCATGAAGATCGTCGTATGTATGCTCTACTTCGGGTTTCGGTGCTATAATATAGGTAGGATTATAATTGTTGGTATGTGCTTCATTGGAACATAGCTAATCATCCTTGCTTTTAGAGAAATGTTGGCTCTGACTCGGCCTTTCTGCCTATAGTCTAAGGAACCTATTATAGGGTAGCAAGAGAGCTCTAAGAAGGTCCCGATGGACGCAGAGTTAAGTCCAAATCAAGTTGGGCATTTGAGGAACCCTCCTCTCCTGTACATTCTGCATGTTCAACCAACCACTTAGAGCAAAGGTCAAGAAGACAACACATAGTGGAAATGGTCCAAGTGATCCTAAGTACCCATGAATTCCTACACTTATTATAGTGGAAATGCCATAAAGCGCAAACCAAGATCCGTGAGATGAAAACCAAAATCAAGACAAGTAATAACAGGAGATCATCGTGGATGTTTAAGTCTAAATCGTACACTAAATAATAAAAGAATTGAAAACACCACTTGAGAAGCTTTACTTCTAGCAAAGTTGCTAAAATAGTAAAAATACAGCAGGTTCGACATCTACTACAAAAGAGAGAATCCACTTTCAGATAACCACGCCTCTGCTAGGCAGCATGTGGAATGGCCGAGAGTGGACCTTATTGGATATATACTCCAAGTCAAGAGTAGAGTTACGGGAACAGCCGTCTGATAGGGATGCATAAAAAAGGTGTGGTCATATCCCATCTGTTTTTTGTTGATGACTTCATATTATTTGCTAAAGCAGACCTGGAATAATACCCTATGTTTGGATCTATATATACCCACGACATCATCGGTTTCTAAGATTGGTGAAAAGAAATATAGTACCTTTGTTATGAAAGATTGACCAAGAAAAAATCTCTAAACTCCAAAATGAGTAGAGATGGGTAGCTCGATGATTTTTGCTAATACGGCCTATATGACAACCGTCAATTGTGGTCAAGCAAAGTCAAAAAGTCAGCAAAAATCAAATGAGTCAACGAAGGTCCACTGATTTAAAGCTCCAAAGCACTAAGATTTCAGGTGGCAGCTAGACCGAAATCACTTGGTGATCTCGGTTGGCACCTAGGCCAAAATCTCCTTGTGATCTCGGTGGTGCTAGGCCAAAATCACATGTGATTTTGGTGGTCCATGCCACTTGATTTGTGGATCCTTTCCCAATGAGATAAAATACACAAACCAATGTAAACAACACATCACCCTCACCCCCCCCCCCCCCCCATATATATATATATATATATATATATATATATATATATATATATATATATATATATATATATATATATATATATAGTAGGCCGAAAACACCCTCCCCATTCTCATTTACATCTTCAAATCTTCATATGTTTTTCCCAGAAACATCTTCAAACATTCCTAAGAGACTAATTCTTCAAGTTGATTCTTAGGAATTGTTGTCAGTTTCCTTGTTAAATCTAGTATTTATACAACACTTTCATGTCAGTTCAACTAATTTACACACCTTATCGTGTGTTAAAAACCCATAGGATACAACCACATTCAAGTGTTCTAACTTGAAGATCATCACCTTCACCTCGTTATCCAGTCACGAACACACTTGAGGTGAGTTCATACCCCCCCCCCCCACACACACACACACACATTTTTTGAGATTTTCAATGTTTTAGGGAGGGCGGGTTGGGGGGGGGGGGGGGAATACAAGCAAAACACAATATAAGTTGTGTTAAAATAAAAAATGGTTAAATATGTTTTGTTGCGTGTTATAAAAAAAATGCTAAATTTATGAAATAGCTTTACCTCCAAACTTGCGAACTTTTACATAAAAAGTTTTATGCAAATATGTTATGATTTTCTGAATATATATATATATATATATATATATATATATATATATATATATATATATATATATAATGGGTACAAATTCAATTACGATAATAAACTATATAAAACTAGTTTATAAGACTTTAACACTTTTGTAACATTTTAAGCAAAAGTGTATAATTATATAAATATACATATATAATTATTCCAATCCATATTAATTTTATCATGGTAAAATAATAATGGCACCTATAAGGGATTATTCATTTCAACAACATCTTTTATAAACTATGGTAAATATAGTTTAGGGGGTATACACACTATTTTTCCCTTTCAGGACAAAGAAATAATTATTTAAAGGTATAATTATTTTGACACTATGTAACCATTATTTAAAGGGCAATACTTTCAATTTGCAAACAGAAAGGGGTTTTCATTACACTAGTCGTAAACCGGTTAATACAAATTTTGTGAGACATACCTTCACCGTACCTACTAGAGTACATACTAAAGTTCCTGATTATAACCAGAGTCTTGGTAAGAGAGTGTGGCACTTATGAATTGATATATATGGGATTGACAATCATGCACCTAAACTGTTGGCTACAGTTAGATCGGCAGGTCTAGGGTGACAAATGCCGTAACATTCTGATGCACGAAGAACGTCGTAGTAGTCCAACTGGTCGCTAGCATGGTTATAATAACTCACATGGGGTATTAACAATACATTTGGTTTACATGGCTAACTTACACTATTTTCAATCGATTTTATAAAATGATAAAACTACATGATACTATTTTCCAATACAGTACTTATACATATCGGTCTTAGGGTGTCTAAGACTACGATTCATTTTCAAATAAAATATTGGATTTTCTGGGATAACACTCTATCATGATACAGGGAAGAACACTATATTCAATCACTTTATTTAAATAAATAAAACTACACTATACTAC